GAAACAGGTTTTGACTGATTATTAGGTTTGCTGCTGCTTCTTCTTCTTCTAACTTTTTTTTTTATTATTTTTTTCCTCGGAAATTCTTGATTGTGGGTTTTATGAATAAGCTAGAAAATGATAGTTGTTTGATCTCAAAAAGTTGTTGACTCATGTTTTCTATTTAATTCAGGCATGTGGCAAGTCGTACATGCCTCACTTTTTTATTTTTTTAATCTTTATATGCTATGTATACAAATTGCTAAATCTGAAAATTCTTTAATTGGATTGATTTAGGGTTTTTGTGTTGTAGAGACCAAGGTATTTTGGTTTAAAGCAATATTTAAGTAATTCAAAGCACTGATAATTGATTTCACTGAATTAAGATTACTTTAATTTTTATACATATTTGGTGCCATTAAGACAATATTATTATTATTTCAATTTTTATACATATTCGGTGTCATAAATTGAAGACATGAACGGAGTCATGATTACTTAAATATTGCATTCCGAATTATATATATTTTGAATTTCAAATTTTAAAATAATCCTTTTTTATGTTACCTAAAATTGATTGCCCCCTTCATTTATATATTTATATTATTATTAGCCATAACTCAAATTAAGTTGCAACTGGTTATGAATCAAAGAAAAAAATGACAGTTTTTAGCCTATAATTTGGACCTATCCGTGCAGCGGGGCTGGACACAAATTAACAACTTCAAATCTTAACTAGAAAAGCACATTTCTTGGTCAATATACATACGATATAATCCATCAAAGGATTGATTTCCTTGAATTATTATTACTTTAATTTTTATACATATTTGGTGCCATGAAGACAATAATATTATTATTTTTTCAATTTTTATGCATATTTGGTGTCATAAATTGAAGACATGAACCGAGTCATGATTACTTAAATATTGCATTCCGAATTATATATTTTGAATTTCAAATTTTAAAATAATCCTTGTTTTATGTTACCCTAAAACGGATTTCCCCTTTCATTTATGTATTGATATTATTATTAGCCCTAACTAAACTTAATTTGCAACTGGTTATGCATCAAAGACAAAAAATGACAGGTTTTAGCCTTTAATTTGGATATGTCCATGTAGTGGGACTGGACTCAAATTAACAACTTCAAATCTTAACTAGAAAATCACATTTCTTGGTCAATATACATACGATATGATCCATCAAAGCACTGATAACTGATTTCACTGAATTATGATTACTTTAATTTTTATACATATTTGGTGCCATGAAGACAATATTATTATTATTTCAATTTTTATACATATTCGGTGTCATAAATTGAAGACATGAAACGAGTCATGATTACTTAAATATTGCATTCCGAATTATATATATTTTCAATTTCAAAATTTAAAATAATCCTTTTTTATGTTACCTAAAACCGATTGCGCCCTTCATTTATATATTGATATTATTATTAGCCATAACTCAAATTAAGTTGCAACTGGTTATGAATCAAAGGAAAAAATGACAGTTTTTAGCCTATAATTTGGACCTGTCCGTGCAGTGGGGCTGGACTCAAATTAACAACTTCAAATCTTAACTAGAAAAGCACATTTCTTGGTTTCCTTGAATTATTATTACTTTAATTTTTATACATATTTGGTGCCATGAAGACAATAATATTATTATTTCAATTTTTATACATATTCGGTGTCATAAATTGAAGACATGAACCAAGTCATAACTACTTAAATATTGCATTCCGAATTATGTATATTTTGAATTTCAAATTTTTAAATAATCCTTGTTTTATGTTACCCTGAAACGGATTTCCCCTTTCATTTATATATTGATATTATTATTAGCCATAACTCAAATTAAGTTGCAACTGGTTATGCATCAAAAACAAAAGATGACAACTTTTAGCCTATAATTTGGTCCAATCTCTGTAGCGAGACTGGACTCAAATTAACAACTTCAAATCTTAACTAGAAAAGCACATTTCTTGATCAATATTAGTGGTGGGCGCGGGTCGGTTCGGTTCTCTAGAATAGAACCGACCCGAATCAAAATTTTCGGGTATTTAGTAAATGGAACCGTCGGGTCCAAATATAATTATGGAACCGTTTGGTTCAGTTCGGTTCGGTTTGGTTCCGTTCGGTTCTGTACTATAATTAAATTTTTTAACATTTATAACAACAATTATATAAATACAACTAATGACATATTCAATGGTTTTGAAATGTCAGAGACTAGTAGACTACCTTGTTCAAATAATCCCTACGATCAAAACTTCGGTTGACGAAGGTCACAACTTCGATTGGAAGTCACAGCGTCGATCAGCGATTGTATAGGTTTTGGAATGTCAGTGAGGCTGCGAGAGTCAAGATAGCGTTATGCACTTTAGTATAGGTGTTTAGGGTTACTTAGTGGGTTGGATCTTGTTGGGCTAAGAAATGAAACAATAAAATTGGTAATTGGGCCAAAAATTAAAATATTAGAAATGAAAGAAATTATTGGGCCAAAAATTTGGATTTGGAAATTGTTAATTTGTTTAGAAAAAACTAAAATTAAAATAATTTGATTTATTCAATATAAAAAAAAATTAGAAAGATTCGGTTCTTATTCGGTTCTTCGGTTCTTGGACTAGAACCGAGAACCGAACCGTACCCGTCGATTCTCAATTCAGATACCCGTTCGAGTATTTAATTTGACAAGAACCGTCGGGTTCGGTTCGGATTCGGTTCGGGTCGGGAGATTTGCCCAGCCCTAATCAATATACATACAACATAATCCATCAAAGCACTAATAACTGATTTCATTGAATTACTTTAATTTTTATACATTTTTGGTGCCATGAAGAAGATAACAAACCAAAAACAAGAATAAAGGCCTTTAATCACAATATGCAAGCAACGGATTGGATATACCCGATCTTGCTTTCCTTCTTTTGAAGGCAACCCAATGAGAGAAAGCCTGCTTATGTACTCAAATCAAAGACCGTTTGGCTTACCAGGATATAGATGGTTCAATGTCAAACAATATAAAAAGAAAAAGAGTAAAAAATAAAGTCCATTGCATTTCTTAGTTTTTGTTAATATGGTGTGATTCAACTGCGTTGTAATGGAAGTAGTACTTCGAGATTATTTTTTTTTTTTAAAAGTTCTCTTCTTTGTTCTTGATGTATGTTGTAATAGTAAATCATTGTGTCCTTTGACTCCTTTTGTTGTTATTGTAATTTATTTATTTTTTATGTAATCTAAATTTATCAACAAGCAAGTCACGTGCTATTTCTTATGTCTATCTCGACCAGCTAGCTTATTCATCTACTGTTGACACATAAAAATTCAGCCCAAATCGAACAACCCAAGAAGTAAAGCCCAATTGGAGGATCCCCAAATCAGATAGCCCAAAGAACGAAGTCCAATCGAACAAATCAAGGTGAAGGCCCAAATAAGGGGGCCCAAAAATGCGGTAACGCCATCGCCCAAGTTTGCAAGTCGCCCAGAATCTGAACTAATAGAGTGTCATACGGTCGCCCAGAGCTGTTACTCTATTCTCGCCCAAACCTTCAAGTCGCCCAAGGTATCAACAAACATAACGCGTCGTGGTTATCAAGAAATGCTGTTATCAAAGCAGTTGTTAAAGCAGCCCTATCACGTTCCACGATTCAAGGAATTCAATCGAAAGCGGTTGAACGATGAAAGGTAATGGCAGCAGTTAAAAGGCAATTTTCATGACAAAATGGCCACTACGAAGAAAGTGGGTAGTTATAGGACGATCAAGCAGTTTTTAGAGTAATTAATCACAAAGAGATCGTCTATGAAGTATAAAAGGGAGAAATGACATAGAAGCAAAGGACCGAATCCAAAAACTCTCGAACAGAGAATATGTAATTTTCATTTCCTTAGCTTTTAAACTTAAACACTTTTCTTTCAGTGACTCGTGTGCTTGCGCCCCTTGGAGGCACGTTATTTTTCATTTCCAATTGTAAAGTCATCGCCAATAAAAGAACACCCCTTTTTGGGACTTTGTCTCAAGAGGTTTGTCCCTTACACAATCGTCTGACCCTTTTTAATTGTTAGCGACTAACCCGCGCGAAACAATTTGGCACGCCCGGTGGGATAGTGGTGTTAGGTGTTGAAAGTACAAAAGGGGGAAACAATATGCCTCAGAGATCCGATAAGGAAGCAGCAAGTCAGGGAGGAATCCAGTCTGTAATCGAGCGATATGAGGAACAGCATGCCTCTCCACGAACAGATGGACAAAATCAGAGCAGTAACAGTCGTTACGAACCAATGACGGAGTTGAGTCCTCGAACCATGCGTGCATTACTCGGAGAACTCACGCAAGACGTCGTTGAACAGGTAAATCTTCGAAGTATTCATAATATGGAAAGATTTACACAAAATGGGAATGTACACTATGACAACATGGCCAAACAACTAAAGACGTTGAATGAAACAATGAACAAGTTAGTGGGCCAAATATGTCAACCGGCTATACCTCTTACAAGCCACTTTCAAACTAGGACAATTGTAGGACATAATCATTCGGTCCCAAATCCGAGTCAAGGGGTAGAACTACTTTCTGGTCCCTCTACTTCAAACCAAGGGGGTACTACAGTACCAAATCAAAGCAATGGTAGTGGTATGCCTAACTTAGGGGGTAATCCAAACGTGAGAGATAATGTCCTAAACAATGGACAGAATATTCCACGTGGTAACGAGGGAGTAGATGTTCAGGCTAATGGTAATGGTCCTAATCATGGTAATTTTGTTGCCAATCAAGGACCAAATATCAGGCCTCATGCAAACCAACCGGTTAACCAACCTATAGGAATTCCATATGACCCCAACGTCAT